TTATTCAAATTAGTATTTAAATGAATCCTAGAGTGCTTTGATGACTCATCCATGAGGTCATAAAAGAACCCAGAACAGCACCTAAAGAACTACAGACCTCACATGCTTGCGTTGTGGTCAATGGTTTAACAATAAGAAAGAGATATTGTACGTTACCAGTCCATTAAATATACTTTATTAGCTGTAATCAGGTTGCCTCCTTGGCGCCTCCTGGGTGAGGTGTTCCGGGCATGGCCCACCCCTGGGGTCAACCCAAGACATGCTGGAGACATTATATCTCTCAGCTGGGCTGGGAACGCCTTTGTGTTCCCCCAGACAAGCTGGAGGAGGTGGCTGGGGAGAGGGATGTCTGGGCTTCTCTGCTTAGGCTGGATGGATGGACAGTTATTATTTAAATTATGTTAGGGAAGTAAATTTTTAACTTGTGTCACTGCTAATTGGTAATTAAGTGACTAGTTAACTAAAATAATTATTGCCAACCACATATTCCCAATAAATTTGCTGATTGGCTATAGTTCTTCTAGCTCCAGTGCTTCATTTAAACTGTATCATACACACACTGACCCAGGGTCAGTGTAAAATAAAATTCTAGATGTCTAAACAAAGTCTGGCTCCTTTAATCCTGCATGAGAAACCTCAGGATGCAGGTTTATTAGACCTGCTTTCCTACTGGCACACCTCCCACACCTGAGAGTCTGCTTACAGCTCGTACATCATGCAAAGGCTGACAGACTCTTGGGAATAATGTAAATGATCAGTGAATTAGGTTAACACTAAACATTTTCTGTCCTTACAGCAGAACAACAAAACCAAAGAGATTTCTGTCTGTGTATGCTTACAGTTTTTTACAGTCGCTAACAAGCGTTTGTCCAAACAGTTGTCACATTTGCAAAACTCTAAACACAATTAGCACAGGATCGGTCTGTTGTGGCCATACCATTCACACATTTCATGTCGTGTTCACCCAATATGCAGTCAGTGAACACATTTCCACAATGCTTACATTTTCTTAACAGACAAGTTATACCTCCCAACAAAACTATGGACTGTTCTTGTAGTATCTACGAATGTTAACACACAACATCCCACAATAGCAAAAACAATATTCCAAACCGTAGATACAGTATAAAAACCTCTGCCCCTGCAATGATATCAGTACAAAAACAATATCAATATCAAAAATATATCTCAGCTGTAAACAAACAAACAATTGAATAATTGACACACAGCTGATTTATGTTGGGTAAATTGGGCCAACCACACCTTCTTCCATTCTGGCTTAGACTCAGTGGGGTTCATAAGGCAAGACCTTGAGGAGTGATGTTTTTGGAAACAAAAAAAAGACAAACACTGTAATGTCTGGTCGAGGAGGAGTAAGAGCAAGGGGCCCAGAGAGAAGAGCAGGCCCAAGGAGAGGGCAAGGTATAGGTGTAAGAATGCGTGGTGGTGGCATTCCAAGGGCTGCAAGAACAGTAGTCAGTGATGAAATCCGTGCCACTATCATTGACCATGTAATCAACCATGGTCTTTCACTAAGAGAGGCTGGTGAAAGAGTGCAGCCCAATTTGAGGCGGTCAACGGTTGCCTCCATTATACGCACCTTTCAACAAACCAACAGGTAAGTATTGCATTTTACATGGATTGTTCCTATTCTCACTTGACATGTCAATATGGTCATACAGTAATGCATATGTTGAATTGTCTGTCTTTCTAAAGAATGCAACGTCTTCCACCCTCTGGGGGAAGAGGAAAGCTCCTCAGTAATGATCAGGAGCTTGCCATTGTGGAAATGGTTACTGCAAATAATGCAATAAAACTGCGTGAAATACAAACCAGAATTGTGGCGGACCATGAGATATTCGACAATATCGATAGAATCAGCCTCACAACCATTTCGCGGACATTGTCCAAACATAGAGTGCGGATGAAGCAGCTCTACACTGTTCCCTTTGAGAGGAACAGTGAGAGGGTCAAGGAGCTACGACGACAATATGTCCAGGTACAGTGTATATTCAATCCAATGTCCAGTTCTATAAGCTTTGCACTTTGCAAGTAGGTAACCTACACAATACTAGGTTACAGTACAGTATGGTATACAGTACTAACATGACTTACATAAACTTTGTTTCAGAGAGTTATGGAATTGGAGGCCAACCAGGCCCCTCATGAATTCATATACATCGATGAGGCAGGATTCAATCTGGCCAAAAGGCGTCGACGTGGACGGAATGTGATTGGTAAAAGGGCCACAGTTGATGTGCCAGGACAGAGAGGGGCAAACATTACCATGTGTGCAGCAATTGCAAATGCAGGATTACTCCTTCACAAATGTCAGGTTGGACCCTATAATACAGAGCGCTTGCTTGCCTTTCTCAATGATCTCCACCAGCGCCTGGTTCCAGAGCAGGGTCAGGAGGGTGAAAACATGAGGACCTTTGTAATTACCTGGGACAATGTGGCTTTCCATCACTCGCAAGCAATAACAACATGGTTTGAAGTCCACCCAAGACTGGTGAGTCTCTTCCTTCCACCCTATTCACCTTTCCTCAACCCCATAGAGGAGTTCTTTTCTGCATGGCGGTGGAAGGTTTATGACCATCAGCCACATGACCAGATGTCCCTCCTTGAAGCCATGGATGCTGGCTCCAGGGACATCACAGTTGACGATTGCCAAGGGTGGATCCGACATACCAGGCGGTTTTATCCCAGGTGCATCGACTTGGCTGACATCAGATGTGATGTTGATGAAAACATGTGGCCTAACCCTGAAGATCGCAGAGATTAGATGCAACTTTTTTGCCTTTTTTTAGCCCCCCTCCCCCCCTTTTTATCTTGGCTTTTTGCTGTTGTTTTTTTGTTCAGAATGCTCTTGTGTGTTCCATGGATATTTTGTTCACTGTAAGCAATACTGTGACACTTTCTCTGTCCTATCATACCGTGTTTCTACTGTACCTCCTGTAGTAAACAGTAAAGACACAGAAACTTGTTTGCTTTTTACTGGAATGCTTTTGAATGTGAACATTACTGTACATGTGGACATGCAGTTACCAACCAAGACATTTCTGGTGTCAAAATGGTGGATTGCATGTTTCGCATGCACATACCTGTAAAACTGAAACATAAAAGTCTATGCAGTTTTTGTAATGTCAATAATAGCCAGTATTTTGACACCTGGTGTACTTTGATTGACTGCATGTACCTTGTGAAGTGAAGACAAGTGTTATTCTTTGACAGACTAATTTCATTTTGAGTCAGATTTATAGTGTTTTTGTACAGTTAGTGTGTGCAGAGAAAGATGTGTTCTAATTTTGAAATGAGGAGTTAGTATATATTTAACAGAGTGTATTTTTGGGAAGGATATTATCCATTTGGCCAATTGTGTTTTGTAGGTGTGGGTCTGTGTTAAGAGTTTAGAAAAAGTATCTGAAGTATGGGTAGGCGCTTGTTAGCGACTGTAAAAAACTGTAAATTAGACTTTGCCCTCCTCTCTTTGTTGTGTCCCTGTGTCAACAGCACTATTTTTACAATTAGCTGAATCTGTTATTTGTAAACATATTTTTTATTCAGGTGTAGGAAAAATACGTAAGAGTACGCACTCCAGGACTGCTAAAATGAAGGCGGTGCAGGGGTTGTACTGGAATAATGGCTGATCAAAGGTACTATACTTAATTTGGACTACTGGACCAGCCACATCAGCCTTTTGTGAGGTCAGTCTGAAAGGGAATACAAAATTTAAGTGCAGCTTCCTGAGAAGTGGACTATACACACAGAAACACGTGGTCAGTCATACAGTTGTTGAAAACTTGCTGTAATTTTAAACAGATTTGCAACTCTAACTAATGTCTGTCTCTCTGTTAGCCCTGCGAAAGACGTGACCTGTCTAGGCTGACTCTACCTATGACGACTGGGACAGGCTGTAGCCCCCCACCCTCCAGGCCACTTGGGTGGCCTCAGGATTTCATCTTTGCTTTTTATTAAAAAGCTGGCTGACCATACGTTAAGGAGACTGGTAGAATTGTTATGTACACAGAATTTACTGAATGTGAATTCTAAAAGATGATAAAATGATTACTTCGAGTAAATATCATGACTTGATAATTAAAATATCATGACGGTAATTCATGTTTTGAGCACAGTGTATGAAAGTGGACAAAGTATCAAGTACATGTATTTGTTACACTACAGTACTTCATTGAATGTAATATGTTTAAGGCTTCTTGTAACATAAGAACTTCCTTTTGAGCTGGCAATTTCTTATACCAAAGGATGCAGCACCGTTCTTCTCAAGGACACCACAGAAGCTTTCAATTGGGCAGCGTGGGATATCCACATATTGCATCTCTTCTCCACCCACAGCCACTCACCCGCCAGGTAATGTAGGCCTGTCCACACCTATCAGACAGATACATATAAAAACTTATAAACTAGTATGAGTTCTCAAAAATATGAACAGGGTACAGAAAACTACCCAACCTCATCAGTGTTAGCCTCTTGTGCTCTCTCTTGTGCGAAGGTGTCAGATTTGATGCGCTTTCGTCTGCAGTGTGAACATAGCCATAATCCACTGGATCACAAAATAGGTGTCATCAGGACATTACAACAAAATCCAGGGTGTCCTGGATGTGGTGTTCAGAGCTGCCCACCAGCGGGTTGAGGATCGAAGCCAGAAACTTGGAGATGTTATAGGTGACCGAGTTGATCATGCAGACAATCGGACTTAGAGGTGCACCCTGTTTATGTATTTTTGGTAAACCATACAGGCTTGGTGTGGATTCCCCTGGGTCAGCTGAGGCTGAAGAAGTCACTTGGATGAGTGACGAAACGTTTCTCCCACAAAACGCTACGTCCAGATGAACAGAATCAACTTTTGGAGATTCTGTATTTCACAGGGAGAGACAAGAAAAAGAACTAACTTCTGTCAGAGATGGAGAAAGATAAGAAAGAGGACAGGAGAGAAAGAAGAGATGTTAGATTTAAAGATAAGGAGTGTTTTTAAACCAGATATTGTGCCGGAAAATGTGACATTATCTTTTTTATTATATTATGAAATATGCTGCAAATCAAACTCAAGTGGATTAACTGCTATTTAAACACTGCATGAAAATATTCTGCAGTTTAGTGCAGGATAAACAAGTTTGCTGTACTGTGATAGATTCAAAGTAAAGAACAGTGATTGACTGGTACACAGTGGCTGTGGTGGTCGGTTACATCAAGTGCAGCAGAGATCGATATGAATTTTATCAGATTATGCTGAGATCTGTTGACTGATGCCTATGTAAAAATTGCCTTTTTCAGGAAACACAAAATGGGTTAACAATTTAAAACTGCAGCAATGGAGGTTGAAAGCATTGAAAGCTGGTGCTACTAATTCTGCTGAGTTCTTTTATGAGAGAAGGCAATGCAAACTTAACATATGACTTTATCTTTGTTTTATTCAAGCAGTCAAAGGTTGGAGTTAAAAACGGCTGTCTCTTTGATCCCAGGATGATCTAAAAGAGCACCACACTCAGACAGTAAATGCTTTTAGTTACGTGTGATAAACAGGATACTAAGGTCAAGAGTTGGTCAAGAGTTGGAGGAAAGCCACAGATCTTATTTGGCTAAGATCCAGCGCTTCAGCTCACATTTCTTTCTCTGCAGCTTTCTGAGCATCTCCTTATTTGGAGATAAGCCTTCTGCCAGCAACGCCCCATTACTATGGCAACCATCTTTTGCCCTCTGGTCAGAATAAGGGAGAGTGCACACCAGCAGCACCTGATTTATGGCCTCGTTGTCTTGTAGGTACTAAAACTCCCATCCACATTCTTGTGTAGGGATCTCAGTGTGTTGATATCAGAGTGAGTGAAGACTATTCTACACTGTGTGCAGTAAAAGACAAAACACAAATATGCAATGCTATTTATGAGATATTATACTTACAGATAAAAATAAATCCCAACGATTCGTACAGGTCTTTGTTGGGTTACTTTTGTTGTTGTTGTTGGGTTAATATTTGAGAGAGAGAAGACGAATATGCTCCAAGTGTAACATGCTAATTATGAGATATTAGCCTTAAGGATAAAAAAAGCAGTTAACAATGGAAGAGAGACAGACCATCATAAGACTTAAAAATGTAAGTCACAAAGAAATTCCAAAGAAAGTCAAGGTGTCAGTGAATACAATTTCTTTCACCAAAAACACTCAGAAACTCAGACAGGAAGAGGTCTGGCAGACAGTCACCAGCTTGTTCCTCAGAGTTTGTCTTTTCCTGGAATGCCTGCGCTGTCACCAGTTCCTCACATTGCTTAGTCAAGCTTGTTACCAAGATTTGTGACCAGTAAGCTCTCCAACTCTCCTACCTCACGTAATCCACATTTTCCACTCTTTTTCCTTCCCGTAGACCGTTTGAGTTCTCCTCCAGTTCCCACACGATCCCTGAACTATGTTAATGTTTCTCCTTCACTGTAAATAAACCATCTGCACTGTCATCTAATGTGCCCGTGTGGTCTGCTATCTGGGTCCACCTGAGTTGTCTCATAACACTGTTTGGGGTGAGATAAGGAAGACAGGATAAAGACATGCTGTGTAAGAGAGACAGAGATTAATAACAGATATGATTCAATGCAGAGAGGTCTGTTGAACACATAGTGAGTGAGAAAGGTGACTGGAAAGGAAAAACTCTATGCATCATGGGAATCCCCCAGCAGCCTACGTCTATTGCAGCATAACTAAGGGAGGATTCAGGGTCACCTGGTCCAGCCCTAACTATATGCTTTAGCAAAAAGGAAAGTTTTAAGCCTAATCTTAAAAGTAGAGATAGTGTCTGTCTCCTGAATCCAAACTGGAAGCTGGTTCCACAGAAGAGGGGCCTGAAAACTGAAGGCTCTGCCTCCCATTCTACTTTTAAATACTCTAGGAACAACAAGTAGGCCTGCAGAGCGAGAGCGAAGTGCTCTAATAGGGTGATATGGTACTACAAGGTCATTAAGATAAGATGGGGCCTGATTATTTAAGACCTTGTATGTGAGGAGCAGGATTTTGAATTCTGGATTTAACAGGAAGCCAATGAAGGGAAGCCAAACAGGAGAAATCTGCTCTCTCTTTCTAGTCCCTGTCAGGACTCTTGCTGCAGCATTTTGGATTAACTGAAGGCTTTTCAGGGAGTTTTTTGGACATCCAACTTGAATGAATGTTGGATGAATGAATACCTTATAAGGTAGCAACTCATATCATCACTCAACTAAATTTAATCTTGACTAAGTACAACATATCCATGTGACTGCTGAAGAGCTCAGGAGCATAAAAGATGGCAAAAAATAGCTTCTACCACAGGCTCTAACACTTGGAAGCATTCTCCACAAGGACCAGAGCTGTTTTAAGACCTGCACAATATTTAGGAGGTACTTATCTTAACTGGCTTGCCAACAAAATGTCTTTTCTATGTCAATGAATTTGATATGTTGTCTTTGTGTCTGTTTATTCTTCTGCCTGTCTCAGTTTCTGCTTGCTAACAGAACTGTCATTTTAAGGAAAATGCTTTGAATATGTTGTTAGTTTTGATCAGATATGTTTCCTTAAATTATCTGATTTATTATTATTATTTATTTATTATTATTATTATTATTTACAAAATATTGGATTCAATGTAGAAGGTGTAAAAATGAAGAAAAAACTTGCTAATTAACCACTAATTAACTTGCGGTTGCCATCAAAATGCCTGTTGACAGATCAGAAAGCATTACTACAGTATAGCATATTTATTCATATTATTTAATATTGTGAATTTTTGACCCTGATGTGCTATGAATCCCCCAAAATATTTAACATACTTAAAGCAACTTTTTTGTTATTGTTTTTTTTTTTAAATTTGTTACCTTATGCTGATTACACATGTTAACTTCAGTACTGTTTTAAATGAAGAACGTTTTAATTTTTATGTTGCGTTATTATTTTTAAACACAAGGCCTGACCATTTCTGTCAAGCCAGTGAACTTGCATAAGTGGTTGAGAGACTGAATACAGTAGATCCCTCGCCATGTCCCATGACAACGTCTATTAAGTATTTTTATTCATCTTTTCATGCCTAAAGATGACTAAAAATGCTTAAGAAGAAAATTAAGGTTGTCATAATTCATGCATGACAGGGTTAACTGAGTTAGAAGCTAGCAGGGAGTTAGCTCGCTAGCTTCCAGCTAAAGGGATTTATGAAACAAATTCAAACGTACAGCTCTGCTATCACTTCGAACATAAATGAAGACAGGAAAGTAAACAGCAGTGACGTTTGTAGGGTTACTGAAGTTGGACTAGCTGGTATATAATGATGTGCTACGTGACCGCTAGTGTGACAAAACCATGTTAGCATAACATAAACAGTAAAGCTGGAGGACGAACGCTAATGAACGGAGGACTTTTTTTCAATTCTATAAAAGTTAATATGAGGGTTCCCAATGGTTAGGGGCAAATGTAATCGCATGGCAGGATGCTGTAAACAGACCAAACATCAGTCAGGAGAACCACCGAGATAATCCATCCACGATATAAGGTTAGTCACACTGCGGCATGGGCTGGGCTGTAGGTACATCGTAAGGGTTTAAAAACTGAGCTTTAAAGTGATTAGCAGTAATAAAAGCCGAGAGAAGCCGACAGTGATCACTGACTGTTTTTAGGGGCTTGTTGAGATTAAATCGAACAAGATACAAAGCATTAAAACATGTTAAAAACACAACAGTCTTATTAAATGCAGACTGGGCCCGGAAGCAGGATTCATAATCTTATCACTTAAAGACCAGACACCGGTCATGGAGGCTAACAAGTGCTGCCCAAAGAACATCTGGATTAAGCCATACGGCTTCAAAGTTTTAGTGCTTTACAACAAACGCTCTCAGTCGCCGTTGCCATTGGAAAGCAGCAGCCGCATAGACACCAGTAGTTTTCCGTCACTCTCTCGTCCTCGTGTGACGGATTGTTTTCATCTTCAACTAAACTAAGTGCTGGTTGACTATTTGCAACGATGCAACTGTATGACGTCACTACCCAGAGTGCATCTTTGCTTTTAACTTAGCGTATAACAGGTATTTGTACAAATTTAGGCCATATACAATCATAGACTGTACCTTTCCTTTCCATACTGCAGCTCCTCTTGGTTCAGGTCTTGAATCTGTGTGGGGTTAACACAGAAAAAGAGGAAGAATCTGATTAAACTTAAGAGTTCCTCATTTAAAGTTAGTTCTTTATTCATACAGTACTGCATGTAGTTACACATTTGTCCCTATTTACAACAAGCAAATATTTAACCATACAGAAAGAAGTTATGTTCTTTACCTCTTACAAGGTTTAGTGTGTTTGGTGCTGAACAGGCCATGTTTTAGAACACAAAACAGCTTCGTGCTGTAGCCAAAATCCTGTTGTGAACATGACGGGTGAACCACAGTTGGGGACAGAATAGCGAATGAACTGAAACTCGATATGTGACTGTTAAACTGAGCAGAATTACAGATTTAAATGATAACTCCATTCAGTATCACCGTAATGTCACAGTTTTCCCCTCAATGCAGTTACTTATATATAGTTTTTATAAATGTCAACTAATCATGATTCATAATTGAAAGAGGTAATATTTTGAGCTCAAATAATGGTTTTCTTAGTACCTTCTTCAGAATGAGCACTACAACTTCATTTTATGAAACCAGTGCAAAGTGGACTTAAATCACCATATCTTTAAACAGAGCTTTAAGCAGAGCTGTTTTTCTGGCCATCTCTTTTAGCTGTGATTTTGTTCTCTCCCAACTCTTAAGGGGAGTATCTGGATCTATACATGGCATCGTGTTTGGTGAGCAGGCCATGCTTTAGAACTGAAAGCAGCTTCCTGTTGTAGCCAAAATCATCAACATGGTGAGTCAACCACAGTTGGGAACAGGTAACAATCACAATATGAAACTCTGGTAATCTGAGCAAAGCTGCAGAGTTAAGTGATAACTGTCACGGGGTGGGGATAATGTGGACCCAAAAGAAAAACCTGTACTTTGGCTTTGAGGATGTCCACAAAGGCTGCAGAAGACAAAGTCCATGAATAGAAACAGGTGTTGAGTAAGAATAACAGGTGCTGAGACAGAAAGGCAAAGAGAAAACTGAGGCAGTAAATACACACACGTTTATTTGGGTAGTGGGGAACACATGCGTAAAAAAAACCAAACAGGTGCAACAAATCAATGGAAACAAGCTAAATGAAGTAAAAATAAACACAAAGCACAAGAGCCAACAGAGGGAAGCAGTTCCAATATGTTTCTGAAACGTGCACTGAAATGAACTTAACCTGTTTGAGCCTTTTGTACCACATATCTTTAAATTGTTATTTAAAAAAAACACATTACATAACTTATAACAATACATGACATGTGAGTTAGGGTTTTTCTTTCTGCTTAACAAATAATAGATGGGTCCAAAAGCTTTTTATAGGGCACTCAGGTGTCTGTGTGAGGTCAAGATACACACCTGTTTGGATAAATCTTTGACTTATGCATCTCAGACTAGTGGGTTGTCTGTAAAAGACTGAACAAAAAACCAATTGAACTCATTCAACAAACCAGCATCTAAAGCTCACTGACAACCACCCCCGTCTCAGTAAACATTGCTTCTATAAAAGTGAACTCTTCAGCCCATTTACACCAGGATTCAAACATGTGGTTAGAAGGGAAATTATGGCATCTGATTACATCTGTGTAAACTATCATAAGTATAAATTTTAAGGAACAGCTGGCCAGCTCCCAAGCAGGATTTCAACACCTGTGGGATGGAGTAGTGCATTTGTTTGTTTTTGTATAATATGATATTCTTCAGTGTGTTATGGCTATATGAATTGGGTTTTTTGCTTTTTAATTCAATTCAATTCAATTTTATTTATACAGCACCAAATTACTATAACAGTCACCTCAAGAAACTTTATATTGTAAGGTAGAGCCTACAATAATACATACAGAGAAAAACCCAACAATGATATGACCCCAAAGAGCAATGGCGAAAGTGGGAAGGAAAGGAAGGAGGAACAAATAAACTGGTGATAAATGACAAGAAGTGATCACTGAACATAACAGAAAAAAAAACACGAGAATAAATCAAAAAATAATAAATAATGCAAATGAAAACAACCAACAACCACGAGATATTACAAATTAGTAGAATAAAGGTGGAATCTGGCTTGGCAAATTTAACTATTACTGTTACGACACTGTTCATTCTTGTACAGTATGTATATTTATTTCTTTGGTTTTATCAAATATAAACATAGGTGGCATAGATAAATGAATCACAACATCTATTAGTCATGTTGATTTTAGCGTGTTTTGTACTTCTGTGAAGATATATAAAGTTTTAAAGTTCAGTGTATTAGATTTACAACGAAAACATGAGTGAAAACACAGGATGACAAAACAGCAAAAGAAAATAAGTAAAAACAGAATTCAGTGTCACCAACATCACAAGATATTAAACTCTATAAGAATAATAAAGAAAAAAAATCTTGATGACTAAAATCCAAACAGAGAGCCAAACTCGGCTATATTCACTGAGAATCCTAAACTCAGATAACCCTGGGACCATGACAAAACAATATGACACTACAAGTGACGCTGATGTTCTTTGAA